TTTTATGTAGAGCAAACCTTTGGCTACATTGTATCTATTTTAGATTACATGAATCGCGTTTACCAAGTCCGTTATAATTATTTATTTAATAAAAACCGCGGCTTTTTGGTTAAGTTTAACACGGAAAAGTACCGAAAATTCCAAAGAGCTTCTCTTTCAAAGCAAATCAAACTTGGTTGCATAAATAATGGGGGTATAACAGCGCACTGTAACGCGCTATCCGCATAGCTGGTCCGCTCGTAGTTTTTCATTTGTTGGCTAATGAGGTAAACATCATCTTAGTCATGTCTTTGCTCAGGCATCAGCTTCTGAGTGTATCATAATTATGCGATTTGTTTGGCGTCTTTGATTGGACATCAGTATATATGGAATTTTCGATAAGAGAGAATGTCAATCACAGTTATAAACCTCACAAATTTGCACGTTTTGAACTTAATAATAGTTTGAGTTCCAGAGCTTGAGCCTCCGTATTTGGGTTTTATTGATTCAAAGAACTTCAACTACTTTAAGGCTACCACTTTTCTTTCATTGCAAAACAAAAACACCACGAAATACAGGAGATACGACGCTCGCCATCGACTTCTATGAGGTCGTTGACAACCGAAAGCGCCATAAACCTTTGCAAATAATGATCTGCAATCTATTTGAGACTTTTCCTGTTATGAAATGTTTGGGAGGTAATTCTCAACGTTTTTCACTTTCTAGGCTCTGACGAGGGCACCTAGACATGTTAGCGGAATAAATATTATAGTAATCTTGATGTTAAGTAAATCACTCAAGCAACTGTATCTGCAATCGGGCAACAGCGACACGCAAGCTTAAACTGGTAAAAAAAATAGCTGTTCTGCTCAGCATTATTTCTTGGACTCGCTATGCATTGCTTGCCTTACTCTTTTATGAAAATGGGTGCACCGGTAATGGAAGAGAATGAAGTGAGCGCTTCATTACTGTCCAAAATAATCTCTAATGGAAACTAACTGGACTTTAAAAAATGGAATAAAACTAAGGAATTTAGGCCCTCAGAGGTGTTGGTAGCAAATCGCGACCAAAAGCACGGCTCAGAACTGTCATTTTGAGATTCCTCCATACGCACGAACGTGAGATAGAAAACTAGTGTGAAATGAAAATACCTTGTCCTTTTATTCCACAAACTCATAGAGTAGTGTTAACAAAAAACCTAGGTCAGCTTTCATTATTTGATATGAGGGATGAGGGGAATGTGAGAGGGGTAAACTAGGCTTTTGCTATGAACATGTACAGACTAATTCATAAACCATATGCGCAGAAGATGGAGAAGAAATGAAAAGCAAAAATTACCAGAGAAGCAATCGCATATATTTTTCAACATGAAAGTGGAAACTCCAAATGAATTACGTACATAGTAAATGTAGCATGTGGACATCTTAAGAATGGATGGGGTATAAATACAAAGCTGTTCGATCGGTATAATTTAACGAACTGCAAAAAAAGCATGACCATTTCAAGTTAAAGTACCAACGACTTTCTTGCCTAAATCGTCTTTCTAAGAATATATTTTGATACACAATGTTCATCTGCAAAATTCAGGTAATACAGGCGCATGTTAATTCGTCTTCGTGGACGGAAGAAAGCGTATCGATTGTCCTTTAGCAACCTCAGGAAAAAGGCTTTGATTAGCTCTTTTTGTGTCCGACTTGGCTGATGAATCTGTAATAAAAAGGTAATAATTCTGTTGTAACAGTGAGGTCTATGTGTTGTTTAGTAAGACACGTGTAATGCAGCTAAAAAACTAATAAATTCTTACTGTACTAGGTTGGCTAGAAAATGAGTTCCGTCGTTTCCAAGGGTTTGTAGATGTGTGACAGATCATTTTATGTATGACTAGCTGGCTTACCCGGCTCCGCCCGGCCCTGCCAAAACACTACGTAAAAGAACACTATCCCTATTTCTGTACGAACCCTTCCCTGTGCCCACGCCTACATGCCAAATCACTATTCCCGTTTTAGTAATCAGCATGCTGACTATCCCCCTGTCCCAATTCCCGCCCCGTTGCTCAAACTTTGCAAAAAATCGATAAAATCGATAAAAGTAGTGCACAATCTCAAAAACTAATATTGTATTCGTAATCAGCATGCTCGATTACCCCCCCCCCCCCGTGCCAACTCCCGGCCCCTCAGGTGAGCTCTGCAAAAAATCGATAAAAATCGATAAAATCGATATCGATCGATGACGAAAAGTAGCCTATGACACCCGCCGGGGCCCGAAGTGTATGTGTGCCAAGTTTGGTCCGGATTGGTTCAGAAATGGAATTTTCTATTCGGAACATACGAACAGACAGACAGACAGACAGACATACAGACAGACAAACAGACATTCAGCTTTATATATAAGATTATATGGTACCATTGGAAAGAGCAAACTCAAAGAAAATTGGATGGTGAATTCTGCTTGTTTAATAAATTTTTCATTACGAAATGATGCAAAAGAAAAATAATCAGATTTTTTAAACCAAAGTCTCTAAAAAAATGCTTCGAAAAACGAAATAAAGCTTGGCGTACGTAGAATGCACAGTTGGTGCCCACACGACAGATTTTTGAATTTGCGACCATTTGCATGACCATAGACGGTCAAACTCAAGCATTCTGAGTGCCTGAAAATTGACTTCCACGCGCAAAAGCGTGAATATTCTGACATGAATTTTACGTGAATTATCACGTAATCAAAGGCTGTATGTATTAAATAACCAATCTTCTCATCGTGCGCTCACAAAGGCTGAGATTGAAAAGTAGCAAGTCAAAAATGATTTGTTAGGAGACTAGCCATTTAGGAGCATAACTGTCGTGTATTGATGACGAAACTATGGAAACTTGATGTGTAAGAGTGGAGTTTGTATCTACTTTTCTGCAGAAAAAGAAACTTTAGCTAAATAGCTGCTGAACTATTGTTGGGATCAATCATACTTTGCCCAAAAGCGCCCAAAAGCGTCAGAAGGCCCTCTTTTGCAATGCATCTTCTTATGCATCATCAATGCATCGATCCCTCTCCCACCGTCAGAGGCGGCATTCCGCAGCGCTAAAAACATAAGGGTCCCACAACAACTCTGCCTCTCTAACCATGGAGGGGAGCGTTCCACTCGTTCAAATTCAAATTGAGGGGGCTTGGAAAATGCTGGCTTTCGCCATTTCGCGCTCTAAAATTGGCTTTCCGGAATCAGCGCGTCGAATTACCCCAGGTAAGCGAAAAAACTGAAAGTCGAGGATTTGCCAAGCCACCGCCTTTAATCATAAGCCAACCTATGGATTACATAGTGAGAACTCAGTCATCTCAGGCAAAAGTACCGGGCGACTGCCGCGCCACGTGGAGGCAATCTGGGCGCCGCGTTCAACAAGCGGCCCGGACATATGAGATATGCTTGGCTGGCATTTGTGGCTTCTTGTATACTTTTGCCTAAGATAGTATAATGTTAGGTTCGTACATACGTTTGGCAACTGAGTTCATATCTTTTCTCTTCTTAAATATAGCGCTCTCATTTTCTGATATAAAGTAGATTAGGTGATATGCTACGAATCTTCGCAAACCGTTTTGTTTCTAGAGGCGAAGTGGGGAAAGTTTGCGCATTTTCTAAAAGCTGATCAGATTAGAAATTTCTCTTTGCTAAAAACAGAAAATCAAGACCTTCTTAGCCGCATCAAACGATTGAGCCGGAACTGTACATAGACTGTTGATGTTTTTCTAGCAACCATCTCTGTACTTCACCCTTTCAATACGTTTGCTGCAAACTGAGAACGGCTTTCTTTGGTTTAATGAAATTTATGATTTGACAGCTTTCGGAAAAGAGTTCGCCACCAGAAACAAAACGGTTTGTGCAGATTCGTAGCCCACTATCAACTCTACATTATGGCCCGTAGTAAACCCCCCATCAGGGCATCTTTCTCGACGCGGACCGGCGTTGATCTCATCACGCCTCAGTCTAGCATCCGGCGAGCCATTGATCTGGATGCGGATCGCTTTCGAGGCATCACAATCAAGTGCCTTCTTGAAAAGGGAACCACTCGAGCTGGTTTGGTCGAGCAGGTAAGGGACTGAAATTGAACGCGCGCGGCCATGGTTCGACACCGGCTAGCGCGACGTTTTTGCTGTATTGCAGGGCGTCTTTGATAGCGACCACTATCGGAAAATCGATGATGACCGCTATCAAGGATTTCGCCTAGAAAAAACATGGATGACACAAAAACGCATTTTTTGACGAAAATTTTATGGAAAATTGAAATAACTGCAACATAAATCCAACGAAATAAATCTACAAATTCTTGCCTTGAGCAGTTTGTCAAAAAAAGTCAGTAAAATCTACAAAAAAGAAAAAGAGGTTTTTTTCTTTTCCTCCCCAAAATCAGCTGTTCATCGATCCTCTCCTTTTCGGGCGCGGTTGTGCAGTTTCGCGACGATTTTTTCTGCATTTTTTGGCAAAGCTGTGTGTATCGTAAGTTACTCAGGAGCAACTTATGTTAGATGCAGTCACCTCTTGTCTGCGTCTCCTCTTCTACACACTATTTGGATCACTCTAACATCCGTTCACGTTGAGGTGACTTGAACGTGAACTGATGTGGAAGAGTTGACTGCAGCAGGTGGACAGATCGTCAACTATCAGTTGACTTGACCATCTTATAGCATGGTAGGGTGGGTGGTCATCAGTTCACCTCAGGTGCGGTGAACTGGTGGGTTAAGTTGAGTTCACCTCAACTGATCGAGCTTTACTACGGGCCTATATCAAAAAATGAGAGCGCTACATTGAAGGTTAGAAGAGCTATGAAGCAAGTTGCAAAACTGACGTGCCAACCTATAGAATTTCAACATCACCATTGAATTAGTAACTATGTAGCATCTAATTAGTGTCAAAAAAAAACAAGAAACAGCCTACAACTATCAAAAAAAGTTGTCTTTAAACAGTCTTACTCATAGAATGCCTTGTTTTCGGCATGGTGTACTGTTTAGTGGTGACACTGAATGTAAAACAGCTACGACTAGCTAATTTTCCTCTCCCAACATGCACTCTTAGCCATAAGAGCGTTCGACGTTTTGTTTCCACTTTCGCTAATGAGTAGGTTACAGTATACGTCATAACTTTTGCCAAAATCTTGTATTGTAGGTTCTTCCTGTCCAAAAGTCACCTGCATAGAAAATGGAATATTGAGACCCCTCTATATCAGGGAAAAACTAAGTTTCAAAATTTGAAGAGCGAGTTTACTTTTGTATCACGGATGATCTTAACGGTGGTACTAGGAGTCAATAAAACCAATGCAGTTTAGTTCAGGACGTCATCCAAATTGAAACACAGGTTCGGTAGAGCTCACCCAGAGAAATGTTTTACGCTTTGCACGACGTCAGAGCAATGTGTTTGTGTCGACTCTCAGGCCCTCTTTGACGCTGCGGAAGGGGCATCTTGTATTGTCATTGGCTCAGCAGAAAAACGAAAACCATGAAAAAGAACGTGCAACGAATGTGTGATGTATCACTTGTGGTGAGAGAAACCCAGGTTTCAAGCGTTGATAACAAACTACAAACTGTTACTGGTCCTTTGTAAAATGTCTAAGCCTTCACCAAGATTGGTATAACGTTTATTAGGCTAACGTTTCAGCCAACTCGCCTTCGTCAGAACCTGTAATAAGTGAGTAACATATGAGATCTACTCGCCCAAACGCCTTGTCATCTTGCAAGAAAAAAACAAAAAGTTGTACGAAACGACACCTAGGTCGAACAGCTCACCACCTTAAACTTGAGGTCGAGACCACCCACCACCGATTGACATGCAATGACTGAGTGAGTTAGAGTTCCTAAGCGAGTAGATCTCATATGTTACTCACTTATTACAGGCTCTGACGAAGGCGAGTTGGCAGAAACGTTAGCCTAATAAACGTTATACCAATCTTGGTGAAGGCTTAGACATTTAACAAAGGATACTCTGAATATGCCAAGATTCACAGAAAGTCGTACATGGAATTGTTGCTGGTCCTTCTGAATAGAATCCAGCTAGGAACCAGGAATTTCCCACTTCTTTCGAGAACTTGGCTAAGGTTTCCTAGGAAGTTTTTCTTAACATTTCAGGTGAGAAGAGCAGTCCGAGCCATTTGATGGGCATGATTAGCGCTACTTTTGGAAAATGATTAGTTGATGACTGCTGCCAGATATTTTCATGATAATTTTACTATGTTAAGAATAGTACTGCATAAGTGCTGAAATTATGAGATGACAACAACAAAACCAAGTTTTGAGCAATATAAGCACATCAGGTACTAAAAGCATCTCGGTACCCACCTCCATATTGAATTGGCAGATTGTAATTCCATGCTGATCCAATTTGCCATCTCGAAAGAAATAGGAGAACAAATCATACTCCGCACCTTCTGTGTCAATCCACAGGTTATCGTACACCTGCAACCGTCAACAACAGTCCACCTAAAGGGTTTAATTTCATAAGCGTTGAAAGGTCTGTTGCTTTGTCGAAAGATTTGAGCTAATACAATAAATGTTTTGACAGAGTAAAGTACCTACTTTGTGGCCTATGATTTCGGTGAGGAGATAAATTAATTCGATCTGGATTACACTGCGTTCTACGTACTCGTCTGAAGAAATATCTATCTCTTTTTAAAACATCATACAAAAAAGCAATTACTATTAATGAGGACTTTCGCTGATGTAATTCCCGACTTAGCACCAACTGCAAACGGAAGAAATGTGCCAAATTTTGAATAGAGCTCTTCATTGACTTCGCGCATAGGATCCGCTCCGTAGAATTGAGATCCTTCTGGCAACACCTGGCAAAAGCTGCTTCTAACAAAGCTGCTTTTTAATCTCAGTTGCTAATCTTAAAAAAATGACACCTTTTGTAGGGCTTCCTCGGCGGCTGTATCGTGCCCGATACCCAAACTCACAACTATGCTTGGTGTGTTCTGAAAAATGAGGATATTCAGATGTGTTGGCGTTTAGAGCATTTGCTCAGTCAGAATTCTTGATCTCACTTTCTTTTGATTTCCTAAACAAAACTGGCAATGCTTGTTTGCATACCATTTAAGTCTAAATGTTACGCACTCAAGTCAAGGGTTCAACTTTCAGTACCCTCCTCGGTATTATTATTTTTAAGCAAAGTATGGAAATGAATTTGGTAGCATAAACATACCTCCTGGAATATATCGAAGCGAACGACTCGAGATTTTTTAAGCAGATGAATCATACCTTTTGATTTATGCAATTGCTTACTGGTCATTAGGCATTAAGGAGAAATAAAGCATCAACCCTAGAGCCTTTCACAAAAGTGCAAAGATTAAACGAGAGCAACAGAGCGGGATGATGGGCATGTCCGGACCTATAGTCATTTGTTACTATGGGTGACCCAATATTAATGAGGCACTTTGTTTTTTTCCTATTTCTGAAATTTTCTTTCCAACAGGAATGGCGTAGATTGATTAATCTTTTATCCGACATACCTTTCAAAGATGCTTTTCAAGCTCTTTCAAAAAACTACTTGAATGAACGGAAGTTCTTCGGCATCTATATAATTAAGCGAAGGCGATGACTCAAGCGTACGGCATGTGTCTTCTACTTGGCTAACCCCCCCCGCTCCCCTCCCCCGCGATGTCGGTATACGTTTAAACAGATTATCCTTTGGAGACCAAAGGTGAGGTTTTTTCCAAAACTCATAACCTCAGTGACGTATTCATCATGGACAATGTTCGAAAAGTACCTTTGTTTTGCATATCACCGCATTGGCGACTATCACATTCGCTAAGCGAAGTTTATACCAATTTCGCCCTCATCATGAGGATGTCAGCAGATTACTACGGTTAGTCATATCTCGATCAGCAGCTCCTATTTGTTCATCTTCACGTATGGTACATAGTGGCTGTAGGGTAAAAAAGCTAGATTTTTAAAGCATCAAATCCCTTCTTCACAAAATCTATCGTTAGTCCTATGCTATACAGCACTGTGAGAGGAATTAATGGTATTTCATTATGAAAGCTTCTCCTTTTTACCTCTGTTCCAGGCATTGCTCCTAGGTCAAAAAATTATCCCTCATATAACGCCAATCAAACTGGCTTTCAAAATATCAAGTCGCTATTCTTCGTTGAACCTTTCCAATCAACTCTTGATTCCCTTTTTAGAAAAAAAACCAGTATAGAACATAAAAAACCAAATTACATGGTATTGAGCTCCGGCCCTAATTTTTTTTTACCAAAATGAGACTCAAGAAAACGCTAAACAACAACCATCAATTTACTAGGTTTTGGAAATCCATCTCGCCTTCTTATAGCCCTAACAATAGCCCTTTTAATCTGTATAGGATTATAATTACTCAAATCAGTCTGTCTGCCGAATCGTCGTATCTCACTCTTTAGCGAATATCAGTGAAAGTTTAGCGCTATAAGTAGTTTGCTGCGGGAGTTATCACATAGTACCCGAATTTCTCTCAAAACCTGTTCGGACGTGGGGATATTTTACATCTCAAAATGCATTTGTTATCTCTATGCAATTCCGAAATAGATAGAATTTTCTTCATAAATGGCAAATTTCTTTAGAAATTTTAAATTAAAAATTTTTTTCTGAAGATGATGCGTTTTTCCTCTCTATCACACATACTTCAAAGCATAGGTGAGGCATGCGTACGAGTCAGCTTCAAAACATTGGGAAGAAGTCAAGGTAACTCTAGTTCAGGTAGTCTTAACTAGGTACAATATGATTGTTTTGTTTAAAAAGCGAGGTTTGAAAGGGCATGGATAGTCATATACGCTGTGATCAAATATTGGTAAATACTTATTTACATCGACGTCCATATTGTACCATGACAAAAATCTATTTGAAAGGCACTTCAAAAAACGTTCGCGAACCATAATCGCTCAATTTTCGATTTAGAAGGATCTATAATATCTATATGATCTATGATCTATAATATTTTGTGCTTATCCCACTTCTCAACGGCCGGATTAAAGTGCCGCTTCGCGACACTTTGGTCTGGTTTTGTATAAAAGAGGCAGTAATTAAATTATTCGAGAAAGTACAATATTTGGCGCAGATTTCCAGGCTGGGAAATATGTTTTGGTCTACCGTCTTTTGTAAATAAGAAGATCTGAGGTAAGTTGCGTACAAATGGATAGAGCGTAAGAAACTTTATCAAATGCTAGACGTCAAAGGTCAGCCCATTCAATAACTTCGACAAAAGAATAAGTGATATATCTCCTAATATCCAATGATATGTCTCCTGCTGCAAAGCGTCGGAGTCATTAGGCTACATAGATTTGTTAACAGCCCTTTAATTGCGGCACATATTTTTTTATTTTTGCTAGCCTCACTTATTTTACAGCGGCAGACTTGAAGTGACGATTTGATTTTGAGCACTTGTAAGAATTACCCCAGACGACCATGCCTATCTGTAGACTTTGATCGGAAGGTTTCAGTTTGTACTAGCCAATGGCGTACCGAGGGGGAGCGGGGGTGGGAGCGCCCCCCCCCCCCGAGAATGGATCGCGAAATTTTTGAAAGTTACTTGTAAGGGTTATAAAAATGTGCAAATAACTTGTTTATACTTGTAAAAAAATTAAAATAATTTTTAAAAATTCTTAAAAATTCAAATTAGCCCTGTAAAAAAATTTTTTTCGGAGGCGTGGCTAACGCCGCGCCCCCTCTTTCCAGATTTTAGGGGTTGGGACCCGCAAAAATTTTGAAAAGCACCCCTAAAGTTTTTTCGGAGTGCGTGGCTAACGCCACGCACCTTCATTCGAAAAAAATTTTTGTCGAACTTCCCCCTCCCTCAGCGGAAATCCTGGGTACGCCACTGGTACTAGCATCTCTCAAGGCTTGTCCAGTTGATTCTTCTGTCTGAGAAAAATGGATTTGTTCTCTAGGTGCTCCATTGCTTTAGAATCACCCAATATTATTCGCAAGTCATTTATCAGCTTGGACTCGCCGCAATATATTCTTCTCTCGATTGACATAAGTTAAAACAATCCATATTTTGCAATTTTTTTTCTTCTCACCTATTTGTTTCCATTTTCCGCAGTCTAAAGTCGACTCTATCGGCAGAGGGAAACGCAGTATGCGCAATATCTTGTAGAGCTAGCTTTCCTTTATCTAGCTACATTACTTGTAGGATAGAGGGGAAAGTATTACTGCGATTTGGATCTTTTTTGGTGCAAAACTTATTTCCCAGCTCAATACAAAACCTACCTGCAATGAAACGATATGACGCTTTGTGTCATCACGGTTCTGGAAATTTCCAATTACCAACTGTTGCATGGAGGGCAGAGTTTCGCACAACTTTATTCCTTTCCAAAACTCTAGCCATAGCTAAAAAAGCTTTATGGTGAAATTTTGACCAAAAGATGTGTACAAAAGCGCAAAATTGATAAATGTACGGCTGTTCCGAACCAAATCAGCTACAATTAATCATTATGATCAGCAATAAGTATTATTTTTTTGAAGCACTTACGATGTCAGAATCATTCAAATACGTGAGCTCCTTCTCAATGCATTGCTTCCAATCGTGAAATCGCTCTCTTACGCGGGGATCCACATCTCTTATATTGAGCTAGAAAGGCTTTCTTGTTTGCAAATAAAAAAGAGATTCCGCTTGCCCGTGTTGGTGTTGCTCTCCTGTAGATGGCAACCAAAACAAGGAGGGGGATGATAGCGCTCAATACGCTGATCAATTTGGAGAGCTTTGGCTGACGTATGCGGATCATATCTAAAGCCGGAAATCGGTGTGATGGCCGAAATGAATTGATATATGAAAACCAAAAATGACGTAAGAAGTTGCTTTTTAATTTAAATAGGCTGGTAGAAGGCGGAGCTTCGTGACCTAATTAAGGCTAGAGAATGATCGAAGAGCACACGCGGGAGAGAGATGCAGACTGCATCGCGAGCGCGAGAGACCTTAATTAGGTCACAAGGCCCGCCCTCCAGCCGCCAATCCATTTGAATCAAAGGTTAGTTCGCAATTTGAAAAGTTTGTGTTTGTTTGACGTGAGCAGCCAAATAATCTTTGCGCCAGAGCACGCTAATCTGTGCTGCGACATTTACAAGTATAGAATCCCTTTTGGTCAAGAAAGATTAGGTCATTACACGGTCAGTTGTACTGAGTGCACTTTTTATTTTCCTCTCTTCTGATGTGCAGACAAAAAAAATGAAATTATTGAAAAGAAAGCCACTTTCAAAAATAAAACTCCCTAGAATGTCACATCATCACAAAAGTAAACCGCTTACTTCTCTTACTAGTTGGCAACATAGTCATGCAACTTCTTCCGCAACTTTTCTCTTTAACATATGTCACACTCATTTATGCATACAGTTATTAGCTGGGGGACTCCAAATTGGTCAACTAACAAAACGTATGTGCTTGCACTTCCAAAATGTTTCGTACTACGCGCGGAAAACGATTTGAGACGAATCGCCGCATTTCCCTGATCTTGAAAGTCAAACGAGCTCTACCGCTCCTGCTTTCATGATTATGGAAACGACTGGTTAGGGCATAATAATTTCATTTTTTTCGATGTAAGTGAACGAATCAATAAATCGATACAACGATTCAGCTACTAGCATGTTACATATTCGGATAACCTTTTCCTTAGGGGGTGGGGAGCTATGTGCTATGCTGAACAAAACGTATATAATATTCATTTTACATAATAAAATATTTTTCGTCATTACCGTAAAATCCCTCCTTATTCTAACAACAAGTAGATATTATTTCAGTATTCAAAAAAGAAAAACCTTACCATATTTTGGCCATCAAAAAATTCTGCCATTTGAATAAAACATTCGAACATTTTTGTGTTACAAGCTCGGCGAATTTGAATTTCGAATGAGATTTGGGTACTCATCCTAGAAATCAACTTCGAATAAGATTGAAACTCTAATTAGGAAATGTGCTGTTCGAGTGTACGATATACTATTTTATTCCATTTAGTATTCGAGCAAAAAAGTCAACTGCTGAACTGTCGAGCATGGGCTAGGCTAGGCGCCAAATGTCCACGGTACTTTCCTCAGTTCTCTAGAAATGCGCATATTAGCTGCTGTATCCTTTATTTGCTTGCGGGTGCATCAATACGCTGTCAGTTTTCATGGAACTTATGCGCCAAGTGATTTTACTTTGTTCGACGTGCATTCCGCGGTTATGCCCCAATTGTTGGCCTTATAGGAAAAGTCAAATAATTTAGTCAAAGTGTTAGATAGCATGTATATTCTAGTTAAGGAACTTCTCAAACATTCGAATAAATTTTTCGAATATCCGAATATTTGGATATGTCTCCGAATTCCAGGCATTTACATAATTCGAATATCCATTCGACAGTTGAACCCCGATTTGTTCGATATCCGTTTGTTTGACATTTTACATCTTCGAATATTATTCGATATTCGTTAATTCGATACTTGCTTCTCGGACTTGTTCGGTATTCGTTCATTCAAAAAATTTCAAATATCCTTAAGTATAAACCCCATCCTGCAAAGTCTCTCAAAATCTTCAGCTTTCAACGGTTAGTCAATAAGATATAAGCAGCAGAGTGACGATAGCGACTCGTCTAGCTTTTGGAGCGTCGACCCCCACTTCGTTTCAGCTTCTCTCTCTTTTTTGCTGAACTAAGGGCAGGTTTCAGCACTTCTTCGCTTGCAGTGGTGACTTGATATGTTTGTAAGGTTCAAGATTTTCTTGCATTGAAACCTAAGAACCCCGAGAGAGTTATATGTTGTTATCGAGATAGAAACAGCTTGTGAATGTATAACATTTGATTCAACTGGCTTGGCACCATTAGGGCGGGGTTTTGTGATCTAATTGAGGCCGCTCGCGCCCGCGACGCACCTGCATCTCTCTTGTGCTCTCTGATCATGACCTAGCCTTAATTAGGTCACGAAGCCCCGCCTTTGCCGATGCCAAGCCAGTTGAATCAAGTAGTACAGCTCAAATCGTAATCCACACAATGCCAAATGAGTGCGCTGCAAAAATTGTTGAAAAGTTGCGTTACTCAGCTGCTAAACTAACACTTTCTTTTCTGGTTAGTCTCCTAATACTAAAAGTAAGTCCTACCTTTTTCAAAGAAATGCATTTATAGAAAATATAGAAATGAGGAAACAACAAATATAGAGCAAATAGTGCTAGCAAAGTGAACACATTTTTTCAGCAATCGATTACCTGTAGTTGAATCAAACCGCTCCAAATTAGCATTCGTTCAAACCACCGGCTAAGTTAGAAAAAAATGTGCGCGCTAGTGTTTACATCGCGTAAATTAACGTTATAAATTTTCTTTTGTGTAAGATGTCTGCCGTAGAATGCTGATGATCACACTTCTGAAAGCTCACTTATGTAGAAGAAACCCATGAATGCTTCAGATATAACTTAAATTCGTTTTTTGAACAAATCGATTTATGGAATAATCGGAATTTCTGAAATTGGCTTAGAGCTTTTCGTAAATCATTTACGAGAGGCCAACTTGTTTTACTAAAACCACATAAAGGCTTATTAGATTAGAAAAACAGTGAGATTTTTTTCAAGTTGGAGACGAAGAGCTACTAACTCTTTAATTTTGAACTTGATGTTGAACCTTATGTTTTTATCTTTACAATTTCTTTGGCTCGTTATTTATGGAACAAGCCGTTAATAACGCATTATTTACGCCCAATGGAGAAATCAAACAATACCGCTTTCTAAAAAGGGAAAGCAGAAACAAAGGTGTGATAGCCGCGAAAATAAGAGATTTAGAGCTGGAGACAATCAAAAGGAAAAGGATTTAGTGCTCGTATCCACTCAAAGACGTGTAAAAGACGCATTCCATCTAAGATTGTCCCCATTATCTGCAAAACAATCTCTATGAAGATTAGGGTACCTTAATCCTCCAAAAAGAATGTGCAAGAAATGCCAAATGATCAAACAGGGTGCCCCAAAAAATGTAAACACTGTTTGATCGTTAATAACTCTCTTGCTTTCATGTCTTTCGCCGAGCTTGAGCAATCTGTAAAGCGAGGTCAACTTAGATTTGCATATGGAGCAAATCATCAATCACTTTTACTGTAGTATTACGGTAGGAAACTCAGGAAGGATTTCAGAAAATTGAATGCGACTTTTGCCTTTGAACGAGTACCAAGTCAGCCAGAAACTCTTGTACCGAACTGATCGAAGTTTCTAATTTTGGATATGGAATTTGCACTTCACTGTAATGTTTCTTTCATAAGATATTTCTTTAGGGTAACAAGTGTTTTTCTAATGTTTGTATGAAGTGTGATTATATCATTGAAACAGCTCAAAAATTTGGTGAAAACATATGTGGTGAGATCAGCACGATTGAAAACCTTGCTACACAAATTCCCAGATTTTTTGGTATTTTTCCATCAAAGGCCTACTCCACAGTGGCTTATGCTGAAAGTTCCAACCGTAATCCTACAGTAATGAAGAGTGATTGATGACTTGCTCCATTTACGAATCTGAGTTGAACCTCGCTTTACGGAATGATACCTCAAGCTCGGCAAATATAAAAGCAGGGTTATTAACGACCATTTTTTGGGATACCATATAGATTTACCATTTCATATTTAGCATTAGTTTGATCAATGTACTCCGAGAAATTAGTATCTAGACTCAGCATTTCGAATTGAAAGGGATATGTATCGTCTTCTAACATATCCGACGAAATTCGAACATTTTGAACCCGAAATGCTTCAAAACATTAAAAAAGAACAATAACATATAACACAATAACATATAAAACATAAACATATGTCTAACTTATTTCTTGTTGCCGCTATCCCATCGCAAATGGCTTGTTACTTTGTACAAGAGAAGATAAGAATTCTTCCTAAACAAAGCGTCTGGAAGCAGTTTCGAGTTTCTTAATCTTAGGACAAATGATGTGGTTAATCACTGTAAAGGCTATTGCATGACAAAGGTGCAGAAGCATTATCATTTGGGCGGGCGCGAACGCGATGCGCGCGTATCTTCACCGCTGTAAATCCTGCGCCTCATGCGCTCTGCTGCTAATAAAGCCGCGTTCGCGCCCAAAGATATTGCGCTTCTTCGTGCAGCAGCCTATACCTCTTTTGCTTTTCTCATCGAAATAGCTTCCAAGTTGTCGTTTTATACCAGCTGACAAAGATTGGCTACCTTAGGGAAAGGTGGATAATCACGACCTAGTATCATGAATGCCTACAAGTTGGCACAACTCGCCAAAGCTGCCACTTCGGCATGAGCCCGTAGACTAACTATGGGTATACCGCCGCAAAACTGTCCCGATTCTGAAAGTGCAAACGTAGACCTTGAACGCTCTAACCGACCGACCATGAACTACATCTTTTCATCATGTGCATCTTTCGAAACTTGCGCAGCATCGGAGGGATGTACGTGCAAGTGGCGCCTGTATGACATGATAATAGCTCTAGTATGTTTCTTTTACGCTTTATTGCGAAGTACTAATGAGGGACGGAATTTCCCGAAACCGGTGTGTGAAATTTATTCAATAACACTAAGCATATCACTTTGACTGTTGAGTTTTTCCTCACAAACCCTATTCTCATACTATTTATGCACGTATAGGGTGGACACTTGGATTGTAAAAGCTGCTGATTGACACGGAGAAAACGGTGAGCGGATTTGTTCCAATCAAGGGTTTGACGGGCTTAAAAAAGACGATGCTCGCTAATGTTGAGCGGTGGTAGCTTAAACGGTGAGCCTTTCCGAAAACACATCATCAATAAAAAA